AGGCGAATATTTGCCCACCCTTTCCACTAAAGAGCTCCATTGTAGCATGATCACTGTCTTACCTGATAGACTTCCAATGGGATGTTTGTGCTGAAGTTTATGCTAGATAGGCGAGGGAATAGGCATGATGGCAGAGGCAATGACAATAGAACTCAGGTAACCATGCAGCCTTCTAAGAAGGCAAACTATTATTGCCCCATGATCAATAGGGTTAGGCCTGTTTTCCCCATGAAATGTAGAAATTTCCAGGACAAGTCTCATTCCAAAATGCAATGTTTCAAAAACCCTTCTTCTTAAAAGAAAAAGAGGAGGAAGCCCATGAGCTGAATCACACAACATACTCTTTCTTTTCTATGTAATTTTTTGTGGAAGGAGTGCTAGAGCCTGCTAAATCTCTTTCTCTTTAAGAGGGAAGAGGTTGGTGCAATTGGTTAAAGTTTTGGTTACTAATCAAAATACAAGTATATATATCTTGTTTCATTTTGAGCCAGCTTCGTTGCAAGAGAGACATAATGGGTGTGGTCTGTGTCAGACCAGGAAATGGTTTAGTGGTCTAAAATGAGGGATTGATTGAAACATCCTCAAATTCAGGGTCATATCCCAGCAAAACTGACTCATTTTTCTGAGGTGGTTAAAGTGAGTATCTTGGACCCTGCTGTTTATTTGCCATTTAGAAGAGACATCAGTCCCTCTTACCTCATTTCTGATCAGCAATATATTTATACAAATTTCCTTGGAGAAAATTTCCCTTCTCTTTCTGTTTTGAGTGTCCAATAGTTTTGTGCTATTCTATGTTTTTAACACCATAGATTATTCTCTTTCCCCGTATTATAAGATCCTGTTTTCTCGTAACATTTCTAAATTTTAGTCATTTAGGCTGACATTTTCCAGGCCTGATGTCTGCCTCCCTCAGGCTGAATTTTTCTTGAAATTTGCAGCCAAAATGCTTTAGCTATATGTAAATGACCAGTGTTTTGCCCATATTAAAACAGTTCTAGCAATCTTTTTCTTTTAAAAGATGAAGTGCCCCATGTTTTGGAACAGAGACTTGGAATTTGGCAGGAAAGTGGCCTTTTGGTCAGGAATGTCCTTTTTGCTTTCCTTGTGGAAATCTGCCCAAAGTTGACCACCTTATATGCTTTTAAAGAAATGACACTTTTCCATGTGCTCCATAGAGACTTCTTAAATTTTAGCAACTAAGTTCCCTGAAGATTCCATATATATTGGACATTCTCTGCCCATTGCTGAGCAGGACTTTTTCTGCACCTACAGCTCTGGATTTTGTGGGCTATATTCAGTCTCGGATTTAGAGTAGGAGCCCTGCTGTGCTCTCAGTGACCTCCTTGAAGGGCTTAGGCAGCATGAAGAAGGAAGCTGCCCAATTCAAATTTGCAGAACAAGAAATAGATATACAGGGAGTAGGCTGAAACCAGGAGCAGGGAGAAAGATAAGGAATGGAAGAGGTGGGGGGAGAGAGAAACTATGACAGAAAGTTGGGAGTGGGGCAAGGAGACTGGTATTTAGAACATCAGGACAAAGGGATGCAGGTTAAAGAAAGTTGAGTCAACCATCTGGTGAGGACCCAGGGGAGTGGGGAGAAGAAATCTGAAATTGACTGCAAAAACACACTGGAATAAGGAGAGAAGCTACAGGTTGAACCTCTCTAGTCCAGCACCCTCAGAACCTGACTGGTGCCAAACCAAAGAATTTGCCGAACCACAGGAGATCAATATTGTCTAGCAGCATTACCAATGGTTTCATTGCTACTGGACTCTTAGAAGACATTTGGGGTAAACAGAGCTAAATAACAGCACAGAACACTGAGAGCCAGGACTAATGACTATAAACAAACTTTATGAGACTGCGGGAAACTTGGCCACATTCATTATAAGGGCTAACTAAAATCATGCTGGACCACAGGTCAGAGTGTGCCGGATTAGAGAGGTTTAACCTATACTGACATTAGATGAAAAGTGAGATTGGGACTGGGAACCTGTGGGGAAGATGATATTGGAAGCCACAATGGAGAGAGAGACATTTGGATGAGGAATTGGCGGGAGTGAGAGATTGGGTCAGGGAGGTTGGAGGCATTGAGACTAGGACTTGCTGGACATGGAGCCTGGAATTTGTATAAGACCTCCAAGGAATGGAGACAGACTGGCTAGGAGAGGAGAATGGATTGGGTCAAGAGCCAGAGATGGGAAAGAGATGGGATTAGGACCAAGTAGGTTGAATGGGATAGGGAAGAAGGGGTTAAAATGGAGTGGTGAGCAGAACAGTCTGGGGCTACATCTAGACTACAGGCTTCTTTTGGAAGAAGCTTTTCCAGAAGAGATCTTCCAAAAAAAACTTCTTCCAAAAGAGAGCGTCCACACTGCAAAAGCGCATCGAAAAAGTGATCGACTTTTTCAATAGATAGCATCCACACCGAATGGACACTATCTCACATTTAAGCTGTGATTACAATGCACAAAGTGGTGTCACCAGGGCACCTGTTGCTTTTTCCTCTTTCCTCATCTTTCGAAAGAACTGCCTCTTCCCTGTCCACCCATGTCTTTTTCCGAAAGAGTTCTTTCGGAAAAAGGCTTCTTCCTCATAGAAAGAGATTTGCAAATGTCGGAAAAAAAAACTCTGTTCTTTCGATTTTTTTTTTCCGAAAGAACGCGATTGATATTTTGTGGGGGGGGGGGGGAATGGCTGTTTTCCCAAAAAAACCTTTGTAGTGTAGACATAGCCTGTGATGACTAATACAGATTCCTCTGCAGAGCTCAAGATTCATGCAGTTTATCAGTCCTCAAGTGCAACAAATATCTGTGAAACCTACTTTTAAATTATCTCACTCCCTTCTAATGTTGGTCCACATAGAGCAGGGGTGGAGAACCTGCTGCTGCTTCATTTAATCTGGTTCCTAGCAAGTCTCCACAACACTGGCTGGAAGCTCTGAGTCTCAGTGTCCCTTCCCCCCTTTGGGGCATCCATGAACACCGTGTCCCAGCAACTCTTAGGCTCATCATGCTCCCCCCACTCCCGGCTCTGGCTCTGCAGTTCCCATTGGTCTGGAACTGTGGCCAATGGGAATTGTGGGGGTAGTGCCTGCAATGGCGGGACTTCGTCCTGGCACCCACACCCGTAACCTCTTCCCACATCTTGAGTCAGCTCCCACACACCAAGCCCCTTGTAACGCCAGAGCCTTCCTCCCTCTCCCGTCTGGCACCTGCTTCTACACTCTGAACCTCTGATTTCTCATCCTACCCTGAAGCCTAGGGGAAGCCCCAAGCCTGCATGCTCACTCCCCCATTTCCCATGAGGACGTAGGTAGCTTCTGACTGATATTTTCTGTGGGTCAGTGGCCCCTGATAGGAAAGATACACTTGTTATCATACACTTAAACTAACAAAGTATCGGTTGAGTGGGTCTAACATTTCCAACACTGCTGAACGACTGGGTGGGTGCCAATATGATGCCTTATGATGGAATTTGTTTTGGTTTTATTTATTTGCTCTTTTAAAATGTTAGGATATTACACCAAAATGCTATGTTAAAAGAATATTATTAAGGTTGCAAAATCAAGCACTCAGAAACACCAGAATTAAGGTTGCCTATTCAATCTAAATCTGGTCCCCTTTTGTGTATGCATGATGATATATTTTGTAATTACATGACCACATACTAATTTTTTGTGATCCCTGTTTCATTCTGTGCATCGAATTGGACATTTTACGTGAGTGGAGCAGGGTTATGCAGTGAAAGAGGCTGCTGTCTGCAGAAACCCTGCTTAATTTGTTGTAGAAGTTGGAAGGTATGTAATGAATGAGGGAAAGGACTACAGGAAGAAAATGTCTGGTGTCATGGTTAAGGCAGTTGAATGCTGTCCTAAGGATCTGGATTCTATCTCTGCCCATGCCAAAGAGTTCTTGTGTGACGCTAGTCCATTCACTTAACCAAGATTTTCCACAGTGATCATTAATTGTGTGTTCCTCATTTTTTTAGTCCTATTTTTAGAAGTGCTGAACACTCACAGCTGTTCTCTGTTCCTCAGTTCTCCTTCTGTAAAATGGGGATAATAATCCCTCATGTCACGAGAACAATGTAAAAGCAATGTATTAATATGTGTGAAGCATTCTGATACTGCAGTGATGAATGCCATAGAAAATCCCACAAGGAAATAAATATTTTTTTCTTCAGAGCAACGTTTGATAGCTTGCAATATACCAGGCAACAGACTACACATTGAGTGAAGAGAAACAAAATCAATAGCTTCTCATTAAGGGAGCTCTGTCCAGCATGCGCACTAAGTGAAGCAAAAGTACTGTGGGAAAATAGTATATGATCATTTAATTAAAGCCTATTATCACAATACATATGCATTAAGGGGCCAAATTGCAGGTGCACAAGCATCCTCAATTCAGGAATTTCCTAACTTCTGAGTGCTTGATTTTGCAACCTTAATGTTTTCATGCAATTTTTTTCATGTAATATGTATATACAGCATTCATATTTTTAAGAAGTGCTTTGGGATTCTTAAAGAAGAAAGGTGCTGCAAAGTATCATAAGGTATTAATTAGGAATGATTTAGAATGTAAATATATGGTAAGCTTTGATTGGTAGAAAATATGATTATGTGTTAGAGCGTAAAGTAAAGCATCCATTTCTGAACACAAGGCTATATATTACATAGCCTTATCTGATTGTGAACTTCATATCTTTGACTGTTTTTTACCATTCACAGCCATTCATTTTCAAAACAAAGGCATATGGTCAAAGGCATATGCAATACACAATATATTTTTAAAACCTCAAAGATGTTAACTTTATATTTTATCACCAAAACTGTAATATGAATATGTTTATATCTACCTTAGCAAAGCAACTAATGACAAGTAAAGACTAATGTAATGTAATTAGCATTATAATGCAATTAAATTATGAGTCAGTGGACCAGGAATAGAAAACTGAGATGTGTCTCAGACGATTTTTACATTCAATCTTTTGTTTTTCAGCAAACAGAGGAAGTGGGGCAGCAGGCAGCTCACAGACTGGTGATGCATTGGGGAAAGCACTTGCCTCTGTAAGGAAATATTTATTTTGGTTTACACATTTACCAATTGTGAGGTGTGAACTTTAATGAGCAATGGATGCCTGGATTTTAAGAAGATGAACAGCAAACAGTAACTCAAAGCTGATGACCTCTGAGATCAAATCCTTCCTATCAACTGAAATATGTAATGATCTATCTGAAATTATGTTTTTTTTTTAAATTTGCATTGATTATGTTACTGACAAAATTAAATGACTGGAAATCTTATAAAAAAATTTGCATTGATTATCTTACTGACAAAATTAAATGACTGGAAATCTTATACTGATCAGAGGCACTTAATTACTAGGATCCAGGCCCTTCAATCTTTCACACCCCACACATCTCAAAAACAACGGATGGGGGGTTGCCTAAAAATCAATGGTAGGTTTAGTTCAGTGTTATCAAATGACCTGCAAACGGGATTCATCTAGATTTTCTTTTGCCTTCAGATTTTATATTTTCCACCTTAGTTTCCATCTATTCCAGTACAGTGGTCGCCATTAAAAAGCCAGCATTAACCAGCAGCTGCCTCCCAGTGGTCTTTGAGGTATATGGCACATTTCCTGTTGGGAAAAAAAAGAAATACTGGTGCACCTCAGATACCATTGTGCAGTTACTATTGCATATTGTTGACTTTCTAATAAGGACCAATGTAAATTATTTTCTGGGCAGAGTGGGTTCCACTGAGTTCTCATGAGAGTTAATTTTTTTCATATTCTACAGATGTTTCATTAAAAAGATGAAAAAATAAGACAATAGGTTGCCCAGAATGACAGATATAGTAGAGAGTCCACTTTTAAATGGTTCCTGATATATGGCATATATGATTAAAAGGGGCAATCACCATGGTGCGAAATTCAATGTACTACATACCACTGACTCTAAGCAGCAGTTAAATGGCACATCTCACTCATTTAAGCAGCACATGTGGTCTTGTCTCATCGTAGTTATCGACGAGTGGCCTTTGGTGTTTGCTGTTATATATTACCTACTGTGCCACGATGCAATCCTTTATTCTCTTTGCTCTATTTGGACTGCTAAAGGGTTTGATTTTACCATTATATTTTTCAGAAATGTTGTAAGGCTTTGTACAATGCTCATTCTTAAAGCAATCTGTGAAATAAAAATATACACCTCCATCTTCATGGACCCTAAAGAGCCTGTGAAAATCAGAACCATCACTTAATTAACAAGTGTCTGTTTCCATAAAGATGTCTCAGGAGAATTCTACTGTTTGGCTTCCAGCATCTAGTACAGTTTTGTCTTTATCAAATATAATTGAGATTAAAGTAATAGGCTTTTTAACCTGTCCTGCTTTCATTTAAATGGACTGAGTGCATAAGAATTCCATATTTCTTTCTGCATCAGTTTGTGATGGCTTTAGATTAATTCTTTATCATCTTTTAAAGATCTATTCTCCAGATCACACCAACAACAGCTTTTCATCAAATCCTTCAACTCCTGTTGGTTCTCCCCCTTCTCTCTCAGGTATTGTTACAATTCTATTTTACTGAACATTTCAACATATATCTGGTAGGAGGTATCTAAAAAAACTCCTGCTGTAACTGGGTGATTTACATCCAGATAATAGCATCAAGCTATTTTCTTACAACACCCGTAGAGCCCAACTATTGTACTTACTGAGATGAATGGAAATATTTTATAAAAGACACACTTTGACCAACATGAAGAAAAGATTATAATAACTTTTAAATAGATGCATTTACCTGCTGCAAAAAAGTAGTGTTAATAGGCACCCATATTTTGGACCGAGGCTACCCCCACACGCCCCTGTGCAGAATGTTCCAAATATTGCGTCAGAGGGAATACACATGACTTATTCCTAGCCCACAGACCTTTGTGAAAGGAGTTGCCAAGAATTTACACAGTAGCCTTTCTATAGCTTTTGGGGGAAACACATTCCCTCAGTCATTCCAACTCTTTGCCATGAGTTTTCTGTCAGTCTGCACATCAAAGAACATTCCACAGCCGGCCCGTACCAGTCAACTTGGTATCGTGAGACTTTGGCTGAATGGCTCTTTCATTGCTGTGTAGACTGCCAGGCTCAAGATGAAGCTCAGGCTCTAAAACCTTTTGTGGAGGGCTCAGGCTCCAGCCCTAATCCAAAAATCTACACAGAGACGAAACAGCCCCAAAAGTCTAAGTCAGCTGCCATGGGCCAGCTGCAGGTTTTTCTTTGTCATGTAGACATACCCTCAGGGTCCTAAGCAAAGTATCTGCCAGAACTTGGATTATAAAACAGGGTTGTGTGCAAAGAACCACAGTACACTTAACTCCTTTATTACCCTGTGACATTGAGGATGTCCTTATCTGAGAGAGAGAGAGAGAGAGAGAGAGATTTTCCACTTACAGTTTTATTTCTAAATAAACGTAGTAGCTGAATTTTCAATCTTGGAAGTGTATAGTAGTGCTTGTGAAGAGCTAAGCAGAAAAGGTCCAGAGCCAGTTAGCTTCAGAAAAGCATCTACAATTTCTGATGCTCATCAGGACCTAATTCAGATTATGTGAACTTTTGAAACTTTCCCACAAGAGCCTCTCTGCCCATATATCTGGAGGCTCTTCATCTATCCTACTACTATGTTAGCTTCTTGGGAGATTCAACACTGGATCTGTTTCAGTGGGTAACCTGGCATCCTGCTCCCCATATAGTGGGTCCTGTCAATCTCACTTAGACATTTTAAAAGGTACCATATTTTATACTCCTGAGTCTAGCACAGTATTATTTATTCCTGGTCTGCCCCTCAAGTTCTAGGAGATTAGCAATTCTGGAGAGAGGGATAGATCTTTTATGCTCTGAGGTTTCATGGTGCTTCAGCTGTCTTGCAGGCATGAACCCCAAAGTACTTTTTGAAGGGACAAGATTCTAGTGACCAGTTAATGGGAGTAAAGAGTGAGCTGGCCAGCCAACACCTGAAGGCAGGCTAAGGAGGTAGCAGGTTCCCAAGCTTCTTCTTAAAGAGACGAGTTCTACTGGAGAGGGGTAGGAAGCCCTCCCTCAAGAACACCTGCCACATGAGATTTGGTGGTTGAGGTGTTTTTAATCAAATATATCCCCCTAAAATGCATGAGGAACATAAAAGCTGCTGCTTTTCTCCAACACCAGGCCTACTTTGGGGATTGGTTAGCCCCTTGACCAGCTGAACTAGCCACTCCCCGCCCCACCCTGGTTTGAGACCCAATGAAAGGTTTAGGACAGCATTTCTCAAAGTGGTCTGCAAAACCACTCTGATAAATCTGCTAACTGGCCATTCCGATGTGTTTATTTATCTGCTCCACAGCCACAGAGCCTCACAGCTCTCACTGTCTCCAGTTTGACATTTGCAGCCAAGGAAAGCCACAGGAAATATTCTTTGCCGGCTGCCACTACCCCAGCTCCCCTTGGCTGCAAATGGCATACCAGAGCCAATGGGAGTTGCAAGGCTCTGTGGCTGCAAAGCCAGTAAATAAACACACCGGAACAGCCAGTTAGCAGGTTTCGCAAAGTGGTTTCACGGTCCACTTTGAGAAACACTGGTTTAGAAGGACAACGGGCAGTCCTTATTTATCTGAATCGTCCCTGTCCCTAGACAGCACGTTATCACTATGTGATACATTTCTTAAGAGACTTTGCCATCAGTTCCATCTGTTACTATAAAGAACGTATTTGAGTTGAAGTAGAGGAAAGCAAAGTTAGGCAATATAGGTTGAATTTCTTTTCAAAAATTGTATTTGATAAACAGAGAGATCCAAGGATCAAAGTCAATACAAATAAGTGGCATGAATTCAAAGGAGAATGGATCTGCTTATGCTTCAGGATATAGTGGGCTTGTCAGAAACAATATCGAAGTCCTGATTGTCCTTCATTGTCTTATTCAGTGATGTGGCAAAAACAGAAGGTGTAGAGACAGTGAAAGTCTAAGGAGACCAAAATTTGGTACTGAATGTTTTAGATATTAACAACATTTTGTCAGTTGGTAGGCTGACAGTCTAGAAAAGGCCATTGTTCCCTGTAAGCTTGTCCTTGTGCAACCACTCAGGAGTGATTCAAATGGCATCCAGCTAATTAGCAGAGAGCCTACAGCTAGGTTTTTTGTTTTTACTGGTGATGCACATTCACACATGCCTCGGTACACACAAAAATTTATTCCACACATGGATGGAAAAGGTTAGAGAGAACAATGGAAAAAGCCATGAAATCAATCTTGGCCTGTGCTTCTAAAGCCAAAAAATGCCACTTAACTTCATTTTTAAGATTAAAACCCTAATGGCTCCATCTTGAATTCCCAGGCTTGTTTCATAAGATCATTCAAAAGATAATATGTTTCAGACAAAGAACTAACAGTACAAATGATCTGATTGTAGTGCCTTAAGCACAGCCTGCTGGGGTAGGAATTTGAATCAGTATTTCTGTCCTCAAGTCTGGTGTGTCCCTTTGAAAAAAAAGATATTGCAAAAATTGAGACTTTATATATTTCATGCTTAAATCTTCAGCAAAAACACATTTGGTTCAATAGGTGTTAACTAATATAAATCAAAGTCTTTGCTGTTAGCTACTTTTAAGTTTTGTGCAAAACCAAATCATCTACCTTAGGAAAGTATAAATCTTAACAGTTAAATGAGAGCATCAATAGAATGACAAGTTGTAATTTAATTTTGAGTTAGATATTCACACAGTACATTTTTTAAATCCTGTTTCTTTTATTTAAAAAAAAAACCCCAATTCATTACTTTGCTGATTGAATTATTTGTTCTGTGGCATCGAGTATGTCTTGAATCACAGCTAGGATAATGGACCAGTACATGCTGGATTTATATAGAAGTCTAGCAATTCCCTCTTAGCACTTCTGAAAATGCTACTTCTCCTTTTACCAGTGAGATATTTCCCTCTGCTATAGCCTCTCTTAGGTACAGCTGTTGAATCAATGAAAACCTCTGTTGGGAAGCAGCCTGGGGCAATTTTGTGGACTGCGTCTACGTGCTTCTCTACAAAAATACCTTTTTTTCATCCATGTATATTTTGGAAATTGTCCATATGTCTGCCCTATAGTCTATCTGGAAAACAGCATTTACATGTCTATAAAATGGTCCAGAAAGTTTGAAAGACATTTTTGTTTGCATAGTTCTAATGGTAATTCCCATTTTACTATTAGCAGGCACAGCTGTTTGGTCTAGAAATGGAGGGCAAGCATCATCATCTCCCAATTATGAAGGTCCCTTACACTCTTTGGTATGTTTTGATTAGAGACCTCCTCTGCCGCAGTATTTTCCATGCTGTTCTTTCCATTTCTCATCCATACTTCTCACAGTTTTGCATTTTGTTAGTGATTACTGTCCCCTTCGGTTTTTACACTATATGATCATCACTAATTTAGTAACATGGGGACCCAATCCTTTGATTTGTGATATTTTGATAGCATCTGTCACTGACTAGAATGTCATGTTTGAACATAAAAATGAAGAAAGTTAATTGCAAAAAAGGATTAATTTATTTTCAGCCAGGAAAGTTTGCTTGAAGGGATAACAGAGAAAAGTAAGTGGTTGCTAGGATAGGTGTGTGCATTATGAGTGTGAATACTTTTATTTAGGGAAGGAAAGTACAGCAGAAGACTAAATAATGATTTTGGATTCTATTTGCTATGTTTCAAACTATTGTAGGCTTAATATGGTGGATAAATTGGCAACAATTGAGGTGAGAGTTATGGCTAGCATGGGAGAAAATAAATAAACGAATAAGATGTTTTATATGTAAAGATTAGCTGGAGGCTGGCTGGAAACATGATAGGGACACATGGACAAAGGTTTTTTAAGTTTAAATCCTTTATCCCATTTTTTTCTGTTTGTTGTTTAGATAGTCAGGAAGGAGTGGTCACATATTTCTGTAGACACCAACCACTTTTTGGTTGCTATATCTGTAATGATAAAGATCAAATATGCCTCAGAATAAAAAAGCAGAGCCTTTCTGATGACAACCTAAATAATCATGCAATACTGAATCACGGACAAGTCCATCTGACTTGAGTGAGAATTTTCCCTAAGTCAGGAATTAGCAAGGACTGCAGTAACTGACTCAGTACAGATACTTGTGTCATGATTCATTGTTGGATAGTTTATAGCTTATCCCAACTTGCTGTGGTATGTAGGTCCTGGTCTACTCTAGGGAGTTATTTCGAAATAACTCCCCTTAGGATAAATGTCTAAGTGGAGCGTCCACAATCCTGTTATTTCAAAATAATGGGCTGCTTATTTCAAAATCTGTACTACTGCTTCCTTGGGGAATAATGCTAATTTTGAAATAGATATTTTGAAAATAATGTTAGTGTGGACTCTCTGGTGTCACTGTTTTGAAATAACTACTCCCCGTAGTAATTTGAACTAATTACTCCCCAGTTCTTCCTAGACCTTTAAGTCAAGGTTGCACATCCACATTAATGGAGCCTGTAATGGGGATATGCTATTTCAATTTTTTTCAAAATAATTTCCTATGTAGACATGCCCTGGATGTATATAGAAAGTAGCAGTGTTTTTATAGACCAAATACTCCAGAGATATGTAATTAGTATAGAATTATTTCTGTAGTGAGAAAGTTACCCCGTTATTTGGGCCTACCCCTTTTACCTTTCACTACAATATCTTGTTGAAGAACAAGAAATTTTAGGCATTTACTTATCAGATATGACATATGCCAATGGAAACAGTTTGACCTAGTAGTTAGACCAGAGCAAAGTAGAGAGGCTTTTAGTTCTGTCCTTAACTGTGTCATTGACTTGTCTTGGCTCAAAAGTTCACCATGTGTGCCTCAGTTTCTCCACCTGTGAAATTAAGATAATAACACTTTATAAAACAGCGGTGGGGAACCTTTTTTGGGTCGGGGGCCACTGACCCACTCTCCACAGTACCCTCACACACCAGAGCCTGGGGGACCCAGTCTAGTAGATTTTGTAGGCTCCAGCCCCACGGGAGACAGCAGGGGAGCCCTGAGCCTTGGGTACCAGATCCAGGCAAGCCTTTGGTTCCAGAACCCTGATATAAAATATTATGGACTGTTTGGATGAAGGACACTATGCAGCATAAATGCAATGCATCATTTCTGAGTCCATTGCTTCTCCTCTTCCTATATTTGCCAGCAACATGGCCCTTTTTTTTAAAAAAAAAAAAAAAAAAAAAGAAAGAAAAACTGGAAGGAGTCCAGTAAAACTGCAGTCAGACTTCTTGAAAGTCAGTACTTCTACTTTTAATGGTTCAAATGTAGGGACAATTCTAGTAGATAGCCTGGGCAGCTCCGTTTCCTGGAAGGAATTTTGAATGTAAGCTTTTGTTTTAGAGAGGTGCAAGTTACACTAGAACAAACAAGGAAAATTGAAGAAATGCTGTCAGAACCAACAGTTCAGTGCATCTCTTTTTTGTAATTTTTTTCACGTCTTGTATAGGGTACAGATCTCTCAACCTGTAAGGAGGTGTATTTATTGATAGTCTACCAGCAATCCTTTTAAAGTAGTTTTAGGATACAGTTACAGGGAGTATTTCTGTCATTGTGGAGAAAGGGTTTATATGGCCTTAAGTTCTTTCTAATTTTTGGTAATTTTTTGATTATACAAGGAAAATAGGCCCTGTCAGAGACTGAAATAAGTTAGATGTATATTCTTCTTTTTGCTTGAGATAACATTAAAAGTTTTCAAAAATTACAGAGGGCAACATATGTACAGTAATGATTATGTTCATGAGGAATCATTGAACCTGTTTTGCCCATGAAAATGAAAGTTGTGCTTGTCTTAAACTAGCATTCTAGGGAATTAGAGAGAGCTTAATTACTTTCCCAAGAAAAATATCACTTTTGCTAAAAAGGGGAAAAAATAAAGGAACTGTTTTCAGTTACACCCCTCATCCCCCTTTCTCCCCCCCCCCCCCCCCCCCCCTATGTGGCATACCTAATCTGTGTGTGTTTTGTCTCAAATGTTAAATGGCCCTTCACATTTGCTGATGGTTCTCTTGATTTGTTTTTCATAAACAAACAGCAAAGCCGAATTGAAGACCGTTTGGAAAGACTGGACGATGCTATTCATGTTCTTCGGAATCACGCAGTGGGGCCTTCAACAGCCATGCCTGGTAGTCATAGCGACATGCATGGATTAATAGGGCCTTCTCACAATGGAGCAATGGGAGGTCTTGGGTCAGGATATGGGACAGGCCTTCTTTCAGCCAATAGACATTCACTAATGGTAAGCTATGAAGATTAAATGACAGTCCAGGTTTAAAAACAGTAATTAGAATTTCTGATCTGGTTTGCAGGCTTTTTAATGATGTTGAACCTTTCTATTTGTGCTAATGTTGCAGATATTTTAATTTTTATGGCAAAAGTATTAACTTAATTTGTGTAAGGTTTTGCTACTACTAAAATATGTTTGTAAGTATACTGCATATGGTTGGAGCACATAGTATGTTTATTCTGTACAATTTGCTCATGACAGTAAAAACTCCATTCTTTTATATGTTTTACAACTGATTAATGTGAGGCTGCCATTGACAAAAAGCTCCTATACTCTAGCATCCAGCTTCCTTAAAAGTCCTTTCTAAAATAGCTTGGATTGTTTGAGAGATTCAGTTGGGTGATGAGCATATAAATAGTATACCATCTTTCTCCCTTATCCATATGCCAAAAAAAGTATATGGGAGAGGAATCTTCTGGGTTTTTTCATTTACTGCTCTTTGTCTTTCTATTTCAATTGAGTTTGTATAAATGCACTGCATTTTTTAGGAACCTGCAGAAGATCTGGAATCTCTCTTTCCTTCTTATTTTCCTATTCCTTTTAAAAAATACCCTATCTTTAGTCTGAAATTTCCAATGAAGATCTATCCTCCTGGGAATTTGGCTGCAATTACAGGCCCCAGTTCAGGAGTGCATATTTATGAGTTTCTTAACTAATTGCCCATCCGAATGGAAGGGTTTGCACCTGTTTTAATTTGTGATGGTTCAGCCCCAAAGATCAACAGCAGCAGAGATGTTATCAGTAATAGGGGGACCCCAGAGAGCACAACAGGGACATCCTAGTGCTTTTTATATAATAATTACTTTTATTTACCAACCAAACAAGACTACACACTGCAGTCTGGTGAAGAAGAAAGAACACAATGGAACATCTAGCATTTCTTTACTCACTCCATCCCCTGTAGAGAAACCCAAAGTATTAGTCATAATTATCCTCATCCTCTTCATCATCACCAGTGGATTCTTCTTGGCCTCTCCTCAGGGCAAGTAGGTCATGATACAGCTTTTATAATGTGTTATAATGCACCCTGCTATGCTTAATGTATATTCAGCAGGGGTTTCGGTCCATTTTTCTTACTTGTATTTCCTCTCCCACTTATCGTTGCCATGCCCTTCTTCCATAGGTTGCTAGGCCTTTTACTTCAAGCTTATTAGAGCATATGACAGTTATAGCATTCTTATGGTCAGACATCTGCTGATGTTCCCAATTTAAAATATCTAAAGCTAGTATAAACTGGCTTCTTGTGGCTACCTATGAAACAGTTTAGCAACACTGACAACACCAGTTTATGTTTTGTGACCTTTTGTTTTATAGGGTCATTTATGAGTTAGTTAGTTAGTTAGTTATGCCCCATCTTTAAGTCTTCATTACTTTGGTTAAACTATTGTTTTACAGGCTTGAGACCTATAGTCTTTTGCTCTACTGCCTAAATCCATACCTGTGCCTTATTTAGGATATGCCCATATATCTAGCAACATAAGTGGCTACAATCCATTCTTAAGAAAACCCTTAAGCAACGAGAATTAAGTACATTCTTAAGTATGTGCTCACATGCTTTTTGTAAATTGGGATCATATATGATCACTTGTGACTTATCTTTCACATTAGGTTAATTACTCCACATTAAGAGTATCAGGCTTTTTCTATACTTGGGTAGTCACTATTGTCCGACTTACCGAGGCTCTCATTCTACGTGTCTTAGTACTTTTTCACATGATTGATCTCACAATATAGTTACTTGCATGAATAAATACAACTCAGCATTAGTGTTTCAGAATTAGATCCTCATTTTCCTGTTATAGCTTGTTTTGTTTTGTTTGTTGAAGACAGTGTCATCTTATGTTATCTGTTCTGGTGGAGGTATTTGGCTCTACAAGAAACCAAACAAATTCTTCACAAGAAGCTATTAAAGAAATTAAGTAGTGTCATATAAGGAACGCATAGATTCAAAACTGGATAAAAGACAGCAAAATGAGGAGTAGGGTTAAATGGCCAGCTTTGACATTATTAAAGGCTAATGTTTAAAGTTCCCCAACATTCCATTTTAGGAGTAATATTTCACATCTCTGATCTGGAAAAGGGACAGATGTAGTTTGCAAAAGATTCAAAAGATTTATGTTAGGATAATAGAAAAATGTAAGGAACCTCATGGCCATCTAACCAAGCTGGATTGATGGGCAACATGATGACACATGAAATTCAGTGTTGATAAGCATTAGGTATTTCATATGAGAAAGAATCATTTGAAGTATTCATATGCATTGCTAATTCTCAGTTAACTGTAACCATTCAGGAAGAAGGATTGGCCATCACTGTCAATAATTAAATGAAAATCTCAGCTCCGTGTGCAGCAGTAGTCAAAAAAAGCAAACCAAATGTTAAGATGGCAAAAGGAATGTGATATAAACGAATATTGAAAATGTTATGTCATTAAATAAGTTATTTATATGTTTTCATCTGGCATGTTGTGTTCTCTTTTGATTATTCTGTCTCAAAAAGGATATAGTAGAACTAGAGGAGATTCAAAGCTTCAAAAATGCTCAGAAGCATAGAAAGACTTTATATGAGGAGAGACTGAATCTATCACAGTGGTTTTCCTTAGAAAGGACATATAAGAGAGGGGAGCCTAGAGTATACAAAATAATGGATAGTAAACAATATAGTAGTCCTGTTCATCCTTTCTTGTAATTAAAGAAAGGAATATTCAATAAAACTAAAATTAAAATAATTGACAATTAACCTATGACATTCATTGCTACAAGATGAAATGGAAGCCAACTGCTTAGTAGCATTCAGAATAGGCATGGAGATTACACAGATAAATAGAACATCCACAATTGCTTTAGATAATATTCATACAATATTTAGAAAAATATGAACTCTTATGTCACAGGGCATAAGCCAGCCACTGACGCAGTTTAGGGAAACATTTCTTCTGTAGACAGTCCATCATTTTTCATTCCAAAGTTTTTTGTATCTTCCCTTAACCTTGTTGTGTCCACAAGGCTTTTTGGCCCATTGAGAGTCGCTAGTTCCTTATAGTGGCTGCTGCTTCAGAACTGGTTGGACACCATAGCTCTAAATTTTCTGTTATTAACAAGACACTTGCCATTGTCAGAGTATTGGACTGAATGAACCATTATGTTCTAATCCACTAGGGCAATTCTCATTTTCCTGTGAAATCAACACAGAAGTTCTCACTGTAAAGGGTAGTAACTTTGCTAGTAATTCTGTAGCAAATGACACTATGACCTACTGTAAAAGATAGCGGGGGGATGATCTAGTGATATGTCAGATATCCTGGGAGAGTTAACTCTTGCTATGATCCTTTGAAGGCAGTTATTTATTTAGTCTTATGACACTTTACTGTGTGAGACCTTAAAAACTAAGCCTGTCATCCATGTGGAATTTAACAGTCCCATGGCTTTTTTTGGATGAGAAAGGTTTTCTCCTTATAGAATTGACCAAACAAATGCCAGGATGGAGTGTTCAGGGGATTATAGAACAGTACATTGAGTAAAATGTAGTAAGTTCAAATCAGTACTGGTGTTTATAAACAGCTTGGGATGAAATGTTCTGTATTCATGTAATTTATTGCTATTTAGTATTGTTAATGGTTCTCTTTTGATCTATATTTAAAGTATGTTTCTCCTGGCAGTGGTCAGTCTGGTGGCTGGCTCTGCCCCCTCCTAAAATGAAAGTTAAATGTAGCTGTCATGTGTGAAAAACTCTTAAAAGCCACAATTGGGCCAGTGCCATTTATAGATTTTTAAAAATTGATGACTTAAAATAGTTTGCCAGCAAGGCTCCAAAAGGTAAAAAGATGCCTTTTTAGCATCCCAGTTAAATCCACCTTTCTTCCCGTTCCCCTGTAAAAATAGCATGAACCCAGACATTGTTTTGCTCTCTGTGGCAGTTGCTGGGAATTCACAAAAGGAAATTCTAGGTTGCAATTTAGCTTAGCCTCAGGTAATTTGTTAAATACACTTGGGATACATATAATGTAAGATTTTTAGTTTGTAGAATGCTATTTCCCCCACAAATGTTTAAACAATACTTCTTTTAATGAAAAAATCTGGCTTTATTATAAGCCAGATCTGTGACTTACAACTGTTTCTGCGTATCTGCTCTCAATCAAGAAAAAAGGGTTTAATTTTTGTAGCTTTGTTCACTTTGCATATGTTAAACTGTTGCAACATGCACCCAGGGCATCACTTCAGAGACGGTTCTATAAATATGCAGTCGTCTCTTAAATACCAGATGTAGGTGAAGTTAGATTCAGACAAAAAGAATAGCAAACAATTCAATTGTTCATATAGCTTTTAAGAAATATCTGACCCTTGAATTTCTTCTTTTATGTATCTGTTTTTGGAAGGGTAGGCATTCTTCCAAAATCTGAGTTGATTAAAAAATGCTGCATGGTACTTTGTCATTTCTACTATTGAAGACATGCTTCTGCTTCCTGCTTTTCTGAAATTGATGAACAATGAGTAAACTCATAATCCACATACCTTGAACCGGGCAACTCAAATGAAAGTTATGCCACTCTGACAACATGGCTAGTTCTAAAAACAAGAAGGACAAATTTCTGTCTCCACATTTAACTTTCTGGGAGGGAAAAATAAGTCTGCCAGTTCACAAAGTTTATTAGTCACTGTCTGAAACTGTAACTTGTGTGAAAGAGTCAAGCCTGGTAATTTCTTTTGGAAAACTGGTATGAATTTTGAAGTAAAAACATAAGAACAAAGGAAATAGTTTTTGAATAGAGTCAGTCTTAAGTTAGCCTTTGACCATTTGATACATTCCACTCTAAAAAGGAAGTTGAAGGGGGAATTTTAAAAAAAAGAGGAGGATACTGGTAATGTTTTCCACATTTGAATTTTAATACATGAAACAGGCTATAAAACTTTGGCCAGCTGCAGTAAATAAAGTAGCAGTGGGAGGTATGGACC